CTCGCAAGCACAAGGACCCAAGTTTGATCCACGGTACAAAAAAAAAAAAAAATCTTTGAATTCCATTGAAGAAATTACACACTGGGAAGAATTAGGCCTATTTATTTTTGTATTACACACTAATAATGATATACTCCAAATGCATAAGCCATAGTCCTTATCTGTTACTCCCAAATATGCTATGGATTTGAAATTTCTCTGCATTTTAGAAAGGATGCAGGAAAATACCGCCCTTTATGTTTTTTATTCTTCATTCTAACACAATTCTAATAATTTGACATTTATTCTATAAGTGCACAGTAATGGGCTAACTCAGCAGGCTCAGGCTGTTCAAGCCCTAAAGATTTCAAAAGAAAGCCTCTCTTTGGGACTGGCCTTTGATCAGCTCCTGGGAAGTGACCACAAAGTCCTTGGACTATCCAGTGTGATAAAAATGTGCTAATATGCCTAAGACCTTAGAACACATTGTACTAGCTTGATGAGAGAGTTTATGTTAACAAGTGACTTGAGGTAAATGCATGTCTCTTATTTTTAGTTTTTGGCTCTACTGGGGATTGAACCCAGGGCTAATATATTGAGCTATAGCCCCCAAACCCCTTCCCTGCTTTTTTTTTTTTTTTTTTTTTAATTCTGAGACAAGGTCTCAGTATGTTGTTAGTCTCACACTTACAACCCTACTGCTTCAACCTGCCAGAGTCCTGGGATTATAGGCATGCACCACTATGCCCAGGTGAATGCATGTTTTTGAGGCTCTGGGCCATGAGATATCATCAGATTTCTGGAGGGCTTGAGACTGACTTGCTAAGGTCTGTCACTTGGGGTGCTGCATGCCTGTGTCACTGAGTTCCAGGGAAAACTCTGGAGATCAAGGATAGGTCAAGCTTTCCTGGTTGGTAATACTTTGCATGTGTGGCCACACATTGTGTCTGGGAGAATTAAGTACATCCTCGTGTGACACTAGTGGGAAACATCTGGAAGCTTGTGCCTAATTTCTCCTGAACTCTGTACATGTTCCTCCCATTGCTGATTTTACTTTGTCTTTCACGGTTAACAAACTGTAACCATGAGTATTACAGCTTCTCTAAGGTTTGTTGTCCTGGTAAATCATAACTGAGAGTGGCCTTGGAGACTCCTGACACAGGAAGGTAGGGATCAAATTTGTTTTCTCTCAGTGGGTACTCATTATGGTTTCAATTTAAAAATGTTCCCCCAAAGTCTCATTTGTTTAGAGATGAGGCTCCCAGAAAGTGATTGGATCATTGGAATACTACAGTTACTTATGAGTCCCTAAATCAGTGGTGGCAAACCTATGGCACAAATGCCACAGCAGTATGTACAACCCTTTCTATCAGCTTGCAAACCAAGTTGCCCCAGCAGCCAAGCATTGGATATTCAGATTTAATTGCAGTGTTGGCACTTGTTATACATAAGTGGGTTTTGGGTTGCAGTTTGGGCACTCTGTCTCTAAAAGGTTCGCCATCACTGACCTAGGAAAATGTGCTGGAGGAGGAGGGGTCTGGTTGGAGGAGGCAGGCCACTGGGGTGTGACCTGGAAGGGTCTATGTTTTTTGAGACAGGGTCTCATTGTGTAGTTCAGTCTTACTATGTAGCCCAGGCTGGCCTTGAGTTTGCTGCAATTGTCTGGCTGCAGCATTGAATGCCAGGATTACAAGCATGTGCTGGTAAGATCTCTTCTTACCCCTATCTTCTCCCTTCTCTCTCTGCTTCCTGGCTGCCATGGTTTGAATGACTGCCCTCTACAAGGTTATTTCCACCCAATTTTGCCCTAGAGCCAGCTGACCATTGATTGAACCTTCTGAAACTGTGAGCCAACCAGGAGCCATCTCCTTAAAGTTGCAGGTGTTGTCCCAGCAACTAGGAAGTGACTAATACTATAATGTCATGCAAGGGCCATTTGTTGAATAGTCAATGCTTTTCCGTTACTTCAAATGTCTATCTCTATGCCCATAACACTATTAATTACTAATAGTTCTTGAAATCTAAGAGATTTATCTGTTTTATCCTATTATTGGGCCTTTGTTTTTCTATATAAAATCTTAGGCCTACTTACCAACTTGTAGGAAAAACCATGAAAAGTGGTTTTGTTTTGCATTTTATTAAATTTACAGAATAATTTTTGAGGAATGGTTCTGGATAGCCATTGTTCTGATTCACAAACAGGATTACTCTTCATTTACTTAGATGCACTATTTTCCATTCAATAATATTTGGTAGTTCCCAAATCCTTGCACATTTTTGATAATTTTCTCCTCTGAGGTATCTTGGAGATTTTTGTCCTCATGATGAGTGATATTATTTTATTTTTAATTGGATATTATTTTATAGGTTTTACACATTGATCTTATAGACCTAGCTTTTTAAAAACTTTTTATTAAACACTTTTTGAAAAATGTAGGCAAGTTAGACAAAATAAACCTTTTCTTTATACAAAAAAGTAGGCAAACACAACATCTGGCAATATGAAGGTTTTTTTTTTTTTTTTTTTTTTTTTTTTTTTTGGTACTGGGGATTGAACTCGGGTCCTTGCGCTTGCAAGGCAGGCCACTGAACCGCTGAGCTAAATCCCCGGCCTATTTTAGTCATCTTATTAAACTTACTATTAAATTTTCAATGCAGGAGTTCATATCACTAAAACATTATCATTGGATTGTTTTATGTTTGTGAATATGGTGGGATAATCTCTCTGTAGTTTTATGCTTCACTTCCAGATTATTAATATGGTAGAAAATATTTTCACATTTCTTAGTCATCTAGATTTCCTTTTATATGAAATACCATTTAAAGTCTTTTGTTCAAATTTCGATGGACTATATCTTTCTGATTCATAAGAATCAATTTAATACTTCAGATACTAATGTTTTGCTTCTTTTGTGACCAGTTTTAAGTGCTGCAAATATGTTCTTCTGGATAGTTCTTTATATTTTGATCCTCTAAGTAAGTAAGATTATGAGTGCTAATTACTATTCCTGTTAGTTTTGCTATACTTTCTAAAAATGCTCCAAATAAAAGTTATAATAAAAAGAAAATGGGTTGGATATATTAAACAAAAAGATAATAAGGTAGAAAGAATTTTGTGCAGAGAAAGCAAGAATAAAAGCATCATAAAATGGAAAAGTAAGAAAGTCATCTCTATTGGCTAACAGATCAATCAAAATTTTTAAATTTTATTAGAAGTTATTATTAAATATCACTACATGATAGCATTCAATTAAACATGTCACCTAAATGAAAATAATTTAGTATTTACTCTAATATTGAAAATAGTACAAATGAACGTCAAGCAATACAGAAAACAATTAAATACAGTGCTATTTTTCAACATATTAAATTTCAATGAATTTAATTTTGTACATAATTTACATAAGTAAAACACACAATCAATAACTATAGTTCTACAAATTTGGATCTGCCATGTATATTAAGATCATCAGGTATGTAAGATACACTTGTTGACAAGCATTAGCCCAATTTTAAACAATCTAGTAATTAAAAGTTAAGTTTATTAGCTGGGTATAGTGAGGCATGCTCCTACTCAGGAAGGTTGAGGCAGGAAGACTGAAGGTTCAAGGCCAGCCTGGGTAACTTAGCAAGACCCTGTTTCAAAATAAATGAGTAAATCAGCAAGGGCTGAGGATGTATGTAGGTCGGTGGTAGAGTCCTTACCTAGTATGTATAAGGTCCTGGGTTCAAATCACAGCACAAGGATAAAAACAGTCAAATTACCAGTTTGATCAAAGGCTTTTACAAGATTCTAACCAATCTCTCCCTCAAATATTATTTCCTTGTATAGGCAAATAAGCTAAAATATAAAAATTAGGAAAAGAAAAAAAATAAGAAAAAAGTTTTAGTTCCATAAAAGTAACAAAACATGATTTTCATCATCATCATCTTTATGTTCTAGTTAAATCATATATATATATATATTTATTTATTTATTTTATTTTATTTTTTGCTACTGGGGATTGAACTTGGACCTTTGTACTTGCGAGGCTTGCGAGGCAGGCAGTGGAACCAGAGCCAAATCCCCAGCCCTAAATCGTATTTTTTTATAAGAATACTTGATAGCACAAAAGTGTTGAATAATTACTAAACATAAGCATGCTTGACTTCTTTCATAAATATTAATAAAAATATGACAGAAATATAACCAACAGAAAAGTTTTAATATACATTAATTATTTGAATTGCCCATTTTTCTCTTGAGGATTAGAATGGAAATAAAGTGACTATACATTTTTTGTTTCACAGATTTGTGAAAAGTACAAACACAACTCTCAAGGAATGAAGGAATGAAACGTTACTAAAAGTCCTATATTTAAAAAAAAACACATTCAGTCTTAGACTAAGTATTTCTAAAAAGTGAACCAAGTGCTTATTGATAAGATAAAGGAATTTTAAATAAGAAAAAAAATAAGTATAACTATATACTAAGCAAAATTCCTTCTACCACCCCTAACACTGTGACATTATTTTCCTGCAAGTAACAAACCACTCACACTAGTTCTGTTACCTTAATATTCTTCACAGAACTTATGATGAGTTTTAATTATGAATGTTCATGAAATATCTGAAGACAAAGAACCAAATATAGCAGTCCAACGTCAACCTAGTAAACACTGAAAAAATTTTATGCTAATATAGGTTTGTGTGAACACCTGACAGCCCTTATAAATTTGTTTATATTCACTATAATAATGAAATCACATTCTGATCCCATTTATTTTCTTTTTTAAAATTATCTCTAACAAGATTGATTTGCAATTGATGTACAATGGAAATAAACTTCTCATGGTTATAAATAGATGGTATAAAGAAGTAAATTCATGTATATTCCAAATTCTTAGAAAAGAAAATGTCATTTGGGGAGGGATTATTATAGTTGCCCTCCTTAAATAAATCTATAAACTTAAAAGGAAAAAGAATAAATTCGTTGCTTATAAAAATAACAAGTTTCAATGAAAAGTGACTGAAAAAATGTTCAGTGTTCATTTAAAAAATATATCAAGGGTATGTCTAGGATTGTTTGGTTTTATTTTCTTTGATGTTGAGTACTTTGTCATCAGTCCTGGCCTGGAATGAAAAAGAACACATAATTAAAATCCTGGAAGAAATTTTTAAAAATAATTTTGCAAATAATTGATTTTTATAATGTTACTTGATAATATATAAAAGCAAAATTTAACATCTCCTAAAAATGAGACCCCCAAACATGCTAGTTTCATAGTTAGCATTATTAAAGCTACCTACCTTTTTGTTTTTGCTACAGTCTTCTGTGCTTTGCTTGACATACCTTTGGAGGTTAGAAAACAAGAAATTCTATAATGAGCAACATGAATTAACTGAAAAGCTTTTACTAATTTAAAATGTTAAAACTTTTAAAAAATTTTCTTGGTACTATACAGTTGATATTTATACATACTAGATATTGACTTTATAGCCTAATTTTTTTTCTTTACTAATTTACTAGTATCCAATAAATTTTATTTTTGGAATATGACTAGAGTCAACACTACCAAAAAACAAATTAGAGAAGCTGCCTAGTTTTGTAAATACAATTAATTTGCCACAGAGCCTTGATAAATGTTCACTGAAGAATTTGTTTTTTAATCATTAGATCACTCAGCTTCTTAAATCTTGTGAACTCATTCTGTGGTAAATTAACCCCCAACTAAAGTTTTCTGTACATTCTCCAAAGCTGTTTACTTGAGTTAATTCAGAGCTATTGCTAGGTAATTAACATTTTCCTAAATAGCAGCATATACAAACTATCCTTTTAATAGTATGTATCTCAGATTTAATAATCTCATTAATTTTAATGAAATATGATTCTTAGAAAAATCATGTTTTTAATGACTACAAACTCACCAGTACTTCTGGAGCTTTCTTTGGGTTGGTTGACTGGATTAATACTATCATTTCTCAGTTCTTGGATAATACTTTTATTTAAGCAAACATCCACGTGCTCATTGAATAGGGTAAGATTCAAAGTCTTTTGTTGCAGATTACACACAGGGCAAACCAGAGGTTGGCCAGCTGTCGCTTTAAATGATGAAGGTTGGAGGGATTCTTGCCTACTTAAGGCAATGTCTGCATTTTCCAATGAAACGGTGTAAGAAGACTTGCTTGGAAGACTAGAATGCTCCTCTTCGCTGTGCTTATTCCTTAGAGAGTCTACACTCCTGGCTTTCAATGAGCTATCACTAGGCTCTACCAAATGAACACAATCTTCTGAAGTGACTTCTGTATTTTTCTGATGGGTCTCATAGTCTTGCTTTTCCCAAAGAGAAAAAGACTGATGTGTGTGTTTTTGCTGGTCAACCTCAGCAGAGGAAGCCTGTGTACAGGTGAACACTTTGCAGTTCTCACTAACTGAAGGGCCATTGAGACATGCATCTATATGTTTATTAAAGGCTTCCAGACTGATGTTTCCTTGCTCCCTAAAACAAATGGGACAAGTAAACATCTGACAGCTATCTGAACTCTCTGATGTTTCTAAACTCTCACTTGTCTTCCTCTTTATAATTTGGAAGGGTTGTGACATCTGTAAATTTTGTTTATCCACAGTTTCACATTTTGATGTGTCTTGGTGGCTCCATTTCATTTCTGATCGTTTTTTATCAAAAAAACTCTCCTTATGAGATATTTTTAGAGGTTTTACAAACTGATCTTTATTGGTTTTCTCTCCTATATACTCAGTGGCTGATGGAGCTTGGTTCCCGGTCTGTAAGAAGCCAATGATGCTCCTTTGTTGGTGTTTCTTGTCTTCTTCATTGGGAAAACTAGATATCCGAACACCTATATAAAACCAATTACAATTAAGCAGTTGTAAATTTAACAAAGCCAATTCACTCCCCATGAATAAAAACATTTTATATAATACTGTTATGACATCTATACAAAAAGCTGGTTAGAGAGAATAAGCCAACACTAAAGACAGATACAAATTTTTTTCTTCAATGCTGTGCTGGGGATTGAACGAGGGCATTGTGCACACTAGGCACGCACTCTATAATCAGCTAGACCTCCAGCCCAATATTTTCTTTCAGTTTCTTTTTGTTTTTTTGGTACCGGGAATTGAACTCAGGTCCTTGTGCTTGCAAGGCAGGACACCGAACTGCTGAGCTAAATCCCCAGCAGCTCAGTGTGAAGGCCCTGGGTTCAGTCCCCTGAACTGGATGGAGTAGGGCAGGGAGGGGGCTTTTTCAAAGCCCATTTTATGAGTAGAAACTCGCTTTCCTTTATAAAACTGGGTATCATTAAATATCGACATTCAACTAAAGTTGGCATAAAACGACATAAAACTCTGAATACAAAATAACTAACTGGAATCAGGTATAGACTCTTCAGCTTTGTTTTTTCTTTTATTTTTTCTTTTTATTGAGTTTATTGGTACATTTTAGGTATACAATACAGTTACATTCATCATTGGGATTCTGTACCTTTACATAATAGGTCTTGATTCTCATTTTTTCCCCTTGTCCCTGCCCTCCCTTCACCCCCCTCCTCCCCTCCCCATTTACAAACACTTTTTTTCCATTTTTTCAGTTTCTCATATTTTTTTCCTCTCCCTTATTACCTTTCCCCCACCCTTCCCACTTTCCCTACACCTTTAGCCCTTTACTTCCTATTTCACATTATTAATTATCTCATTAGGATCCTGTGTACTATTATAGCTTTTCACACCAAAGAAACTATTCGGTATTTCAGTTAAAGAAATCTCTGTATGAACATTAAAAATAGGGAATCCTAAAATAAAATTAAAAAAGGAAAGTAAAAGAGAAAAGGCAATGATGTAACATTAAAATATTCCTTAATTCTGGAGATGAAAATGGTCCCTGAACATATTTAAATTGCTTCTTGCTCTTATAGTTTCATCTTATTCTTTTTTTCATTATTTAGAGAATACTTTATTAGTTTCTGCAATCAAACCCACATAGATGTGACCTTACATATTTAGTGCGATGTGTTACCCCTGAACACATGGAAAAAAAATTTAAAAAATTAACATTTCTAGACCAATATGGCTGTCCATTTCTGTACAATGCCCAACTCAACACAGTAAATTGGGATGACTTTTTCCAAAGTTGGCAGCACCATTAAAGTTTCCCAAAATTCAATTTATATATATATGTATATGTATATATGTATATTTGTATATATATATTTATATTTATATAAAAAGACATAGCAGTATGTTATACATCAATAGCAGCTTCCAGTTCACCAATGGCAAACAGTAGGGCAAATGAGGATGAAAAGGCCGATAGTGAACCACCAGGGCACCCTGAACTGAAAGCACAGGAAGAAACAAAACAGATCAATCAGGCTCTAGAAAAATTCAAAACAGAAATAATTTCCCAGATAACCATAGAGATAGTGAGCAAAATGGAAGTCGCAATTCGAGACTCTAGAGCAGAAACTGACAGAAAAATATATGAGCTCAGGACCATGATAGAAGCCATACAGGCCCAGCATAAGAAAGAAATGGAAAAAATAAACACCCAACATAGGAAAGAAATGGAATCCATAAAACAGATTCAAACAGATATCCAGGAGATTAAACACTCCATAGAAAGTGTATGCAACAGAATAAAAGAATGCAAAGATAGACTCTCATATATAGAAGATAAGATTGTAGTCAGTGACCATGAAAAGAGAGGTCTCTTAAAAACAGTAAGGGATCATGAGTAATCAACCCAACAATCTTCGGCTTTTTAAAAAACAATAGATTTTTGTTTTTTAAAGAACAGTTGTAGGTTTACACCAAAATGGTACAGATAATTTCCAAATTCACTCTGCCTCCTTACGTGCACAACTTCCCCTGCTCTCAACATCCTGCACCGAATGGCACATTTGTCACAGTGGATGAACCTACACTGACACCACACTAGTACCCAAAGTCCACAGTTTACAGTGGAGTTCACTCTTGTACATTCCTGGGGTTTAGACAAATTTATGACATGTATTCACCATTATAGAATTATACAGAAGTTTCACTGCCTAAAAATCTGCTGTGACTGCTTACTACTTCTTTCTCTACCATTCAAACACCTTGTTTGTTTATTGGTTGGTTTTGGCTTTTGGTTTCTGAGATGGGGTCTGGCTATGTTCAAGCTGGCCTTACAGTCACTATGTAGTTGAGGCTGGCCTTGAACCTATACCAATCTTCCTGCCTCAGCTTTCCAAGTGCTGGGATTAAAGGCATGTGCCACCACATGCAGCACCCGATCTTTTTACCATCTCCAATGTTTTGCCTTTTTTGGAATGCCTTACAAGTGGTACCTTGGCTCGTAAACTCAATTCTCTCCACAAACTGGACAAGAACTGAATCAAATTTTCCCATAAGGTCAACATAACCTAACTATTGAATTTTGTTTGGCTCTTGTCCAGCTCGGTTACCAGAATCATGGAAAGAATCGAGTTTGTGAACCAAGGTACCACCGCAGTTGGGATCATGTAGATGTAGCCTTTTCAGATCGGCTTCTTTCCCTTAAAAATATGCAGTTAAGTTTTCTCCATGGCGTGATGGTTCATTTATTTGATGTGCTGAATATTATTCTGTTGTCTGGATGTACCATAGTTTATCCATTCACTGAAGGATATCTTGGTTGCTTCCACTTTTATACAAATATTTGCCTTTGGTCTCTTTTAATGAACACTTTATGGAATTAATTTCACTGTATGCTATCTTTCATATACAAAAGTATGAGTAATGACCAAATCTTAGCAGTGAAGAAGGAAAGTGGAGAGCTATCTACAGAATATACATTCTCTCACCCAGTCCACTTCAGAAAAAAATGGCTTATTTATTTTTATTGTATAGTGGCTAGAGATGTGATTTCCTAGTGTCACAATCTTTTACCTGTAATTCTGAAATACAAAGTTCTGAAAATTGTAAGCAACAAGTGATAATTGATGAATAAATAGATGGGACACTATTTAGAGTCTTTACAGTCTGAATTTTTTGTTTTTCTAGAGAAATATTGTTTTTGATTAGAAAGTACTTATCCAGATTCCCAGATTATGTGTGTTCTGAAATGTGAAAAGTTTTGAATTTTGAAACATATCTTGCCTCAAAGATTTCAGTGCACAACAAGAGGAAAAGAACAACTTTAATTGATTTATATCAGAAATAAATTAATGCTCTGCTTCACATGCATCATTTTAAGGATTAAATCAAATGTTAGCAGCGCAGCAAAAACTTAACAAACAGGTTTAAGGAGTAAAACTGAGGTCAGATTATTTCCAAAGCTAAAGTCTTGGGGAAAAATCCAACAGATTTAAGAAAGAATAAGAAAAGAAAAATCATACCCATAAGTCTTAATCTTAAGGGATATGGAAAATCAGCATCAATTTCTGTTCTTAGCAACTCCTTTGCAATGGCAAATATTTCTTCTGCAGTAGAAACAACAGATGAAATTGTAGATGCACGAGTTTTTACTTCAAAATTTACATTCTTCAGCTTAATGGTAACAGTTCGACCCTATAACATATATGATACATCATTACATAAAGCTTTCTAACTTCTAGAAAAATTATTTACAGGTTAAGAAATTCAGGAAAGTCTTTGCATGCATATAAGAATATGGAAATATAATCAATTATTTATAAATGAAATTTGTAAAGAATAATTAAAATATATAAGTAATGTTAAAAACCCCTTTTTAGCCAATAATTATTATTTCCTTCCTCAACCATATATAAAGGTATGAATACCTTTATATAGAGAGCAGTGTTAACTGATTGTTTTATTTTTATTGAATCTCTTTTAGAGGTTAATTCAGTACCTAAAAAAGCAGGAAAAGAAAAATTTTTCTAAAGGTGTCACTTTGAAAAGGTCTTATGGAAGGCTGGGGATTTAGCTCAGTGGTGCTGCCACCTGCTTTGCAAGTTCAAGGTCCTGAGTTTCATCTCCAGTAACAAAAAAACAAAAGAAAAGAACAGGTCTTACGGATAGCTCAACTTGTTGTGTGCCTACTACATCTAGACAGTATGTTAAACAATTTATTTGTAAGAGCTCCCTAGCCAGTGAGGGTCTTGAGGTACAGAGTTTTGGCTGTGAAGGATAAAAAAAAAAAGTTTCAGAGATAGATAATGGTGATGGTTGCTGTGCTTAATGCCACTGAACCATACATTTACAGATGGCTAAATGTCAAATTCTATCTTATATGCGTTTTTGTATCGCCTGGAGGTAGAATTTAATTCCTACCTTCCATCACTTGGGTAAGACTTACTAACTCATTTCCAAAGAAAAAAAATCAGCAACTTCACAATGGAGAAGTCTAGCAAACACTACCTTAACCTAGTGATAAGGGTAACATCATTCACAACATTGCTGACAACATGTGATGAGAAGGCACTTCAACTTTGTGGTATTCTTTCTAAAAATCTATTGTCATGTTCTAATTGTGAGGCAACCACAGACAAACCTAGACTGAGGAACATTCTACAGAACATCTGGCCAGTACTCAATACTGTCAGTCCTGAAAAAGAAGAAAAGACTAGAAAACTGTCCCAGACCAAAGACAACCAGGGAGATGCGACAACTAAATATAATATAGTTTCCTGGATTGAACCCTGGAACAGAGAGAGGTAGTTAATTTAGAAAAACAAGTAAAATCCAAAAGAGGCTTGGGTTTTAATTAAAAACAATGCATACACATCACTTTCTTTTGACAATTACTAAAAGTACTGTGTGTTTAAAAAAAAAAAGTACAATATACTAAAAACTGAGGAAATTGGAGGAGGGCTATACTAGAACTCTCTATATTTTCTTTTTGTAACTTTTCTGTAAATCTATGATTCTATAATTAAAAGTTCATTTAAATATTTTAAAGAACTCTTTATACTTGAGGTATGATAAAGACTGTAAGAAAAATGTTCATCAGATACTCCATTTTTTGTAACAAAATTTTAATGCTTTTGTATTATACTTTTTAACATCACTCTGATTTGGGAGTGTCAGGAAATATGTACCAAACACGGACTGCCATGAGGGAAGATTATCAAACAGAAAGTGCAGCGTGTTCCAGGCCTTTGTTCTCAGTGTGTTCACCCACCTGGATTAAAGCCCTGAAACAAAATACCTTTTCTAGAAGCTTATTGTCTACCTGAGAAAAATATGACAGAATGGGTTGGGAGGAAATCTGTAAAATAAGAGTACAGTTCTAGGAAAACCTTTCTCTGCCTTTTTCTCTGATGCCAATATAAATGATTTTGCACCTACCTACTCAAACATATTCATTTATGGAAACTAAGAATACCTTTAGTCCTTCTTTCTGGAGATCTTGAGCAAGTTCCCTGCAAAGTTCCCGGCACAAATCATACTGTTCTTCTGCTTTGTTTATCTCATTAAATGTCCTAGAGAGACAACAATGATTTTACTGCACCAAGTAAACTATAACTCAGGACACTCTGGGAACAATACAGTACATTTAAACAGTCATTCAGATACATTTTCTGTAGCACAAAGTAAATTTTCAGATGAACTAAGATAATTAATTTTAAAAAATATGGTTTACATAAATAATAGAAAACAATTTGGATAGGTTAACAGATCAGCAAAGGAGAAATTTTATGTCATTGCTCTTTCTCTACGATATTTTTTAAAACAATGGTTAAAATCACCAATACATAGTTGTAACACCTCTAGAATTTATAATACTTAAGGTATAATTATATATATAAATTCTCCTACAGAAGACTATCTTAGGAAAGTAACAAATGAGGACACCATTCCAATTACTGCACATGTTTCTTAGTGCAGAAATATCTTCAAGTAGATTTAAGGTGTTAGTTATAGTATGTAGGTAGGTTGTCTAGTAGATAGCTGCAAATAGAGGGCTGGTAAAAATGTAGCAATTTTGAATTCATCTTCCAAAGAATGCTGAAAGAAGGTGAGAGAGGATATTAAGCTTTGGGAGGAAGACACTAAAAAGAGATCAAAGAGATAAGTACAGTGAAGTCTCCCTTCTAACCTGATCTGCAGTTTTTCTGTTCTCCATAGTGGCAAACAGTGTTGCCAGCTTTTTTTTCCCTAAGTTGATAATCTCTATTCCACAAAAATACACAGATACAATTAATACAAGAATCCACACGTTCTATGGTTTCTAAATATTTACCCACTAATTGTTTTTGTGAGACACTGTTGTCTTTCATGGTTCAGAGAAAGTTTAGATGCCTAATATTTGTGACAGGACAACTTTTTCTTCCTTTTTACCCAGCAAGTTAGTCTTTTCAGAAGTCTTGCAGGATGTTTTCTTTGTTTGCCTCCCAGTGTGAGGAATAAGAAGGTTGAAACCATCTGACTTTGAGAATGATTAAGAGTTAGACAAATCAGGGTGGAGTCCCCAGGGTTGAAATATGGTGACATCATAAAAAGAGGGAGAGAGGCCCGAAGAGACATGTGTGCTCCCTGCGTTTTGTCGTTCATTGGCCAGCACTGACCCGGGGCACTAAGAAGGCTATCAGTAGATGTAAGCCCTCACACTTTTACCCCCAGGCTAAAGGACCCTATTTTCTTTGTAAAGTTATCTAGCTTCAGCCATTTGGCTGCAGGAAAAGACATAGGCTAATATATACACATACAGTAGAAGCAAATAAGAAATCATTGTTCCTTCGTTTTAACATAAATAGTACAATATTAGCTACATTATTTAGTACCTAGCTTTTCTCAATTTATCTTGGTGAAGGTTCCCAATGAGTAATTTCCTCATCTTACATGGCTATATAATATTCTTTTTTCTTTTGGGGGTGGGTACCGGGAATCAAACTCAGGTCCTGCTTGCAAGGCAGGTGGCAGAACTGCTGAGCTAAATCCCTGCCCTCCTCCCAGAAAAGGAGCATTTTCTATTAGACTTTTCTTCCTTTTTCATCACTCTTTTTTTGGGGGGAGGGGTACCAGGGATAGAACTCTGGTCCTTGTGCTTGTGAGGGTGGATCCACTGAGCTAAATCCCCAGCCCTGGCTATATAATATTCTAATTTAAAGCTGTAAGATGATTGAGAAATTCTCTATTCATGGATAAGTATGTTACTTTGAATCTTTTGTTAGCATAAATACTTAATGAATAACCTTATATACATGCAAAATGACACATGATTGTATCCATGGAATGAATTCCTAGAAAAATTAAGGGATCAAAGCACTATACATATTCATCTGTAATTTTGATGCATCTGTAATTTCACCTGTGACAGGCCAAATAATGATCTCTAAAGATGCCTCTACCCTGATCCCCAGAACCTGTAAATCTAGTGCCTCACATGGCAGAAGGGATTTTACAAATGTGAATAAATTGTGATGGTAAATGATCCTGAAGTATCCATGTGTGCTGCCCCCTCACCCCCACCAAATTCCCAAGAGTCTATCAGAAAGAAGTAAGAGTTCAGAATTAGAGAAAGAGAAGACGCAGGCTGGAGTTTTGTGGCAGTGCAAGTAATCTTTGACACCCTTGGTAAAGAAACGAATTATTGGGCCAGGGATTTAGCTGAGTGGTTCCAACACTTATCTCACAAGCACAAGGACCCAGGTTCAATCCCCGGTACCAAAAAGAAAAAAAAAAAAAGAAAAGAATTCTTGCCTAGAGCCTGTAGAAGGAATGCAGCCTGGCCAACAACTTGATTTTAGGACTTCGGACCTTCAGAATAATAAGAGAATTTGTGATGTCTTAAGCCACTAAATTTGTAGCAATTTCTTACAACAGCAATAAGAAAATAATACATGCTCTTTTCACTCCCAATCATTTTGCCAAAAGAGTAGGCCAAACTTCATCAGTGAATAATGCTAACTCACGAAGCTTGTGATATTTTTCTTTCATCACAATGAAAAGGGAAATATTTCTATGTATTTTAGGAATCATTTTAATTTCCGGTTCTGTTAGCTAATTAGATCTTTGTTCATTTTTTTCCTACTAGTACAGTAGGTGCTTTCTTATTGATTATAAGAGTTCTTTACAGATTAGAGTAGGCTTTTTTCAGTGCTGGGGATTGAGTCCATCCACAGAAGACAGCTCTTTGTGTGTTATTATGAATTGCATCCTCTTTCTCTTCTACTCCATACAAATATTCATGAAAGTAGAAAATATATTCTTTGTATGCCTAATAGTCTTTGTTATGGCTTGTGTTTAGACGTCCCCCAAAGCCTCAGCTGTCACAGGTGGGGCTTTTCCTGGAATTGATTCATGGTGCAATGCTAGGGTCAAGGGCACTAGGATTGAGTGTGAGGGCTACCTACCCTAAGTAGTCTGCACAAGATAAAAGGGACAGAAAGACTCTATGGAGAGCTTCTCTTCCTTCCCTTGTTTTTGCTGTCTTTTGCCACCATGAACTGTTGCCTCTCTGCCACCCTGCTGTAGGGCCAGCCAATTATGGACTGAAACCTCTATAAACCATGAGCTAAATAAACCTTTTCTCATTTAACTTTGGGTGTCGGGTATTTTGTCTCAGCAACGAGAAAATTAAAAAAACAGTGTTCTTAGTAAAAGATAAAAGTAGAAGGAAAATTCATTAAATCGGATAATACTACATCCCATCAGATGACTCTTCTATTCTCTTTCTCTGATTGATTTTATGTTAAATCACTGCCTAAACCAGCAATTTTTATCAAAGCTATTTAATGTGTTGTCTAATAAAGGTCATTCAGCTTTTCTGATCACAAGAAGTACAAACACATCCTGCCACTAGGTCAGTGGTTCTTCATTGTCTTATGAAAGTTTTCTCTTTTGAAGAAATGAGGGGCTTTTCAAAAGTAATAGCTTTCCTCAAACAAAATTCCATCATAATCTCATTTGACTTCCAACAAACACTGTAAGTCCATCAAACTAGATGATCTCTTGACTTTTACCAATAATATTTTTTAATTTCAGTGACACTTTTGCAAAAATTAATCTAAAATTAATTCAAAATAGCATTAATTATGAACAATTAAAAATAACAGAGCATTACCTCTCAACGCTCATACTTTTCCTTTCTCCATCCCTTGAAAACAAAACAAAAGAAGCCTTTACTTTCTTTCTCAAAGAAGACTGAGTTACTTTTGGTCAAACAAGAGGATTTAACACATTATTACCCTTTAGACATTTCAATTTTTAAATTAAAATTTGTATACCATTAAAAACCATGAGGTTTTTCTTTTCAATCTAAAAATAAAAAGGCAGATAAGATGTAAATATGATTATACATGTCATGGATCAAGTCTATATGTACTGAAGAAAACAAATTTAAAAATAGGTAGAGATTATAAGTTGCCTCTATTAAAACTAAGAAGAGGCGATCACCCGGCGGCGTGCGCGTGAGCTCCCGGCCTGCGCGGGAGCTCCCGGCCTGCGCGACAACAGACCCAGGAAGGACCCAAGGACCC